CTTCTTTTTAAAAATATAAAGGTAACCAGATTTGAATGTGCACATGTCAGCTGCACCTGGAGCCTAATTTGGGGGGGGGGGCCTCCAGGGGGGAAATGAAGCAGTTTGCCCCCCCTCCCCCTTTTTTTTTTTCCAATCTCCCCTCCCACTTTATAGATATGGTTCTTTTCCTTTCCTCTTTTTGCCCTGGCATGACATCCCTCTACCAGCACTACAACCTGGTCAGGGCTTCCCATGTTATCTATCATTGATCCAAGGATTGGATTCCCCATGAAGGAGTATTTCTTCAAGGGAAAAGGAGTGACATAGGGATAAAAGGTCCTATGGTTTGAGGGTGTGTGGTTGGTGGCTACTGAAGTAAAAGGTATTCCCAGTAGTTGTTTATAAATCAAGTTTCTGTAGAATCTTACTCCAGATGACAGACATCAATCCTCAACCATCTCCTATAAACAGAACTTGAAGAGTTAATTTTGCCTGGTTTCTGGTGCTTTTGTTCTTTGCAAAAATATTGGGTGCAACTGTAGTTGCATAATCTTACTGGCTCTTTAAGGTAAGTATAAATATGCCTACAGTGGAATGCATTATATTCATTTTGTTACCTTTTTTACTTTTAGGAACCCACGCATTGTGATGCCAATCCTGACCTCATCTTCGAAGATATGTCTGTGATGACAGATTTTGAGCTGCATTTGCTTTGTAAACAGTATGCTAGTGTCAGTGACTTTAAGTTAGAGATGGATACAATTTTGGATTCTGGAAAATTTAGAACACTTGAGCGCATCCTCTCTGACCTTAAAGAAAAGGTTTGCACTAAAAGAATATTCTAGTTTAAATGTCTTCTGCTTTTCACAACTTTGTTTACCACTGATTTACTGAATCCCTATTAACAGGCAGCTTTTACATGCTAACTTGATTTTTCTATAGAATACTACAGGATAGCTTATAACTTTATGGCACGTATTTGATAGAACTGTACTGCTGTTCTATGTCACACATGCAGTTGATTGAATAGGAGAAATTGCCGTCCTGCAAAAGTGTTCAAAGAAGTGTGTTTAGGGTTGCTCAATGTTCAGTGCTAACAGTAATGAATCATTGCTTTTCTGAAAAAGCTGTTTTTTTACCTTTTGTACAAATAAATAGGATTAGATATTATAGTGTATATAAAACTGTGCAAAAACAATATTTAAAGCTTAGGGAAAACTAAATGTTTTCCCCTGTTTCCTCGAATAATCAGAATATTCATCCTGGAACACTACCATAGCCTCTTAAGGTATGTCTCAACAGCAGCTGGGTGGTGTAATTCCTAGCCTGGGTAAACATACTTGCGCTAGCTCTACTTGAGCTAGCACACTAAATATAGCAGCGTGGCCATGGTGACAGTTTGGACTACTTGCCCAAGTATGTACACAGGTTGTTGGGTGGCATTGTACTCGGGTGGCTAGCCAAGCCACCACCTATGCCATTGTGGTCACTCTGCTATTTTTAGCATATTGGCTCAAGCAGAGCTAGGAAGAAGGGGTGAAGATGATGATGGATTACAAAGACAAGATTATGGTGTTCATTACGTTAGGCATTTATACAGGCGCCTCGGACAGTAATGACCAGCAAGGCTATGTTTCTTCCCTGTTGCAAGGAAAACAATTTCAAAATAAATCTATTTTAGTAAAAGTATTACTGGTGTGGGTTTTTGTGTGTTTGCAGTTGCACGTATAAGAGATTTTACTGTATTTAACTGCTAGTGCCCAAATTACGTAAATGTTCAAATTTGGGTGCCTAAAGTTAGTAATCTAAATACGTGTTTTGGCACCTAAATAAAAGTGATCTGCTATTCCGGGGTGCCGAACACCCCACCTCTTATTGAAAGTAGACCAGTTTTATTTAAGTGTCTAAATATGGATTTTGGTGGCTGATCTAGGCATAGAGGTTGGAAAATTTAGGCCCAAATATAGAGTGCAAATAAGTGATTTTCTAATAAAATATTTATGTAATTAATGTCTTCCCTAACTGACTTCTTTTCCTCCTTCCCCAGGGTGATAGAGTTGTATTGTTTAGCCAGTTTACTATGATGCTGGACATTTTGGAAGTTCTCCTAAAACAGCAACAGCACCGATATATTAGGCTGGATGGAAAGACACAGATTTCTGAAAGGTAAGTGAAACTTTCTTTGCAGGAGGTGCGAGTAAGTTAATGCACATGTGCAGTTGTTTTTCCCACAAAGTTGAGAATTTCAGGTGTAGACATTCACTACAGCAATGGGAGGGGTTCTCCCATCATGTAGTTAATCCACCTTCTCCTTAAGACGTGGTAGCTAGATTGACAGAAAAATTGTAGCACTGTCTACATAGGGGGGGTTAGTTTAACTAGGTCGCTCAGGGATGTTGATTTTTTCACACCCCTGAGTGACATAGCTCGGTCGACTTAACCTTTGAGTGTAGACCTCTCTGTCCCTCCACTGGCTCTCCTTTCTCCACTAAACCAAATTCAAGTTTCTTGTCTTCACCATCTGGTCCCCTGATATTCTCCTCTTTCCTATCTACCCTTTGTTTCTTTAAGCATCATCCTCTCCACTCTCCCACAGATGCCAGTCAACGCCCTCCTTGGCTTCTTCCACAATCTTTTCTATTTTTTCTTCTGTCACCTTCTATTTGTAAAGTGCCCTTTCTGAGCTGGTTTGGAAGACCACTAACCTCTCTTGACTCAGTCTTCTCCTTAAGATCCTCTTTAGCCATCTGATAGTGATTAGGATGTGAGGCTCTTGGGAGTAATGAATTTCTATGTGTAAATGGGGGGGGGGGAGGAGTGTATTTATATTAAAAAAGTGGAACTGAAAGGATATCACTCTTCATCCTGACTGCTTTGCTTACATATTGATTCCCCCCTCCCCCATTCCTCTGTCTAGAAAACAGCTATTGTAATTAACAGAATTGTTTTTCACAAGGCATGATTTGTGTGTGCTTTAATTTTGTAGGATACATCTGATAGATGAATTCAACACAGATATGGGTATTTTTGTATTCCTACTTTCGACCAAAGCTGGTGGCCTAGGAATAAATTTGACTTCAGCAAATATTGTTATTCTTCATGACATTGACTGCAATCCTTACAATGACAAGCAAGCAGAAGATCGATGCCATAGAGTAGGTCAGACCAGGTAAGTTTTTAATTAATATTACATTAGCAAACTGAAAGAAGTGTATGCAGCGTGTGTTTGTCCCTGCCTGCTCTATAGTTCGCAGGTGGTGGTTATTAGGGAGATGGAAGAAGAAAAGATACAGGTAGTTGAAAATAACGTGCAGAGGAGAATGGCAGGCAAGCAGAGAGTAGACAGAGTGCACATGGAAGAAATTAGGGGGAAGATGAATTGGGACTTTGATAAGCTGGAGAATTTGAGGTGGGTTGTACGTGTGATAAGAGCAATCAGCAAAGAAAGTATGGGAAGAAGATGACAGCAAGATAGGCCATGAAAGACAGAGGATATGATGGAAGGACTGTTAGAGAATTTGGAAGAGAAAAGGACTGGAAATCAAAGACCTATGAATTTGTGCCATGGACCGAAAGGAGTGCAAGGAATCGTGGGCACCTCCTGTCCCTTGTAAATGGGAAAAGAAGTCAAGAAGTGAAGTGAAGAAGTGATTGCACTAATTTGAGAGAGTTGGATTTTAGCAGGCCTTGGGTAGGCATGATAACTTTCTGGGAGGTATCAGGCTAAATAGCTCCAAACTGTGGAAAGGAACAAGTAATTCTTGATTCACAATAACGATATAATAGACTTACTCCTCTTTTTTGTGGGTTTTAGAGAAGTACAAGTCATAAAGCTAATCAGCAAAGGGACTATTGAGGAGTCTATGCTCAAAATCAGTCAGCAGAAGTTGAAGCTAGAACAAGATATGACTGCAGTAGATTTAGGTAAGTCTTTATTACTCATATTAGTTAATATCCTATTTCATAGCTGTCCTCTATATAGAACTAAATAAATTTGCTACTTCTCCTTAAAGTGCAGTTATACTCTGAAAACTGAGTCCTTGGTGTTGAAAATCCAGACTGCTTCCCGTGTCCCCTGTCTTATTGTCACCTAGTTTTCTCTTAACTTCTGCAATGCACTTATGTAAAATAGAAATTAATATTAAAAATACCACCAGATTTACTGTACTGATTATATTCACTTTCCTGGTTAATTCAATAAAAACCTTCATTTTTATTTCACTTGAAGCTGCCCCAGAACTCAATACTGGAATATCACAAATGCAAGGGCTTGCCTCTGAATACTCTGGGCATGATGGATGATTACAGTTGATAATCTTAGTAGTGAAAACCCAATGGTGTTCTACACATTGAAAGAGCTACAGTCAAGTCAAGGGGGAGGGACTTCTTGTTGAAGTGTAAAACTAGACAGAGCCTTACTGCTTGGATGAACAGGGTTTATTCATGTGAAATGTTTTCATTAATGCAGCATTAATGGTTTGCTTTTATTCTGCAGGAGAAGAAGGGACCATTCCAGCAGATATAGCCACATTATTAAAAACGTCATTAGGTCTGTAAAATGTAAATAAAATAGCTGTGGATTTTATTGGCGAGAAAAAGGCAATGTGGTACACCCATGGACTTTTACATTACTGGTGACCATAAGTTTTATGAACATTTATAACTTTTTGTAATTCCTTTTCTGTATTTCTCATGGTATTGAAGATTTTTAACACTGATAGAATTCTCCAGATGCTTGAAAACAAAATGTGTAAATGCCACACACATATGTAGTGCATAAAATGTTGAATAATCCATATTTTACAAAGCCGTTTTAAAAATGGGGACCTAGTTAGTGATGACTTTACCAGCTCTGCTAATGCTTAAGATTTGTCAGTATTTTTGTAATTATTTCTACCTCCCAAATATATATAAGAACTGTCTGTTTCACTGGATAATGTGTGTAGATTTTTTTTACATGTGCCTTATTTGACAATGCTCATGTCTGTTTATGCTTGTTTTTGTTCATTTGAAGTACCGTACTGTTTTTGTATCAACTTGTTCAAATAAAATTGTCTAGTTGACCTGGGTCTTTTTTATTTGAAACAATGTTCTACTTTGCCAGTAGGAACAAAATAAAAAGCAGCAGCTTTCAAACTGTTTCAGATATTCTACTCTAACTGCTCTTTGCTTAATCAAATAATGGTAATATTTCATTTGTACTGCACTCAGAACTGTGCTTAGAAACATGGATGTAAAGATTGAATTCCTGCCCTATAGAACTTTCAGCCTAAGGCCATGATCCTGTAAAGACTTTATGCACTGAAAGTACTGGGTAGTTCTGTTGATTTCAGTGGGACAACTCAGGCTAGGTCTACACTACCCGCCTGAATCGGCGGGTAGAAATCGACCTCTCGGGGATCGATTTATCCCGTCCCGTTGGGACGCGACAATCGCTCACCGAATCGACGCTCTTACTCCACCAGCGGAGGT